CCTTAGACATTTTAGTCATTTTATCCAGAGCGACTTACAGTTAGTGAGTGCATACATAATTATTATTTTTTTCATACTGGCCCCCCGTGGGAATGGTTTATTAAAGAAGGATTGAAATGTCATGGTGACAAGGTAGAGGGTATGAACTAACATGTTGCAGGTTTACATATTTCTGGCTGGGATCAAAAGGCAAAAGCTATTTCACAATCAGCGCACATGTTTGGAAATGTAAAAGCATCCAGTTGGAGGGAGAGCTTAGTCCTACCAAGAGGCTACCATACCAGAAGCACAGGCTGGATTTCCCTCTCTCATGTTTCACATGCGGCAATTTATCAGACCTCTAAAGCTCAGTGGGGTTGCATTATAACTGTATTATAACAGTAGCTAACTTATTTATTGTATTGTAACACTAACTTATTGTTTGTATTATAACACTAACTTATTCTCCAGAGTTCATGCCTTTTATCTTTATGCTCTGGAGTTGACCAGAAATGTGTGGAGGTCAGCTGAGTAATAGTTTACTGCCAGGAGACTGTTGTTGTCGACTCAAAACATTACTGAGCTTATCAATCATGGGAGAGGAACACTTCAGGGAACACTGTGTTAACATGGAAGTTCCTATCGGAACGTGTGCACCAACAGTCTGCAAACCCTCAATAACATGATCCCAGTGTGTACACGTTCTCCCTGCGTGCTGCTGATCAGAAATAGTTCAGTGATAGAGTAACACATTAACCCTGGCTTACTGAACTTGGTGGTTCTGGCCACAAACCGAGTCAGTGATACGAACTCTGTGTTCCTCCCCACTCTTAATACTTATAGGTTACTTGTTTATTCCATTTAAAGGGGAGAACATCCTGACCTTGGCCTTGGCTTTAGCCTTAAACGTAACCCTAACCCTAGCTTCATGTTCACATCCCGGTTCAACCCTAACCCTAGCTTTATGTCCACATCCCAGTTCAACCCTAACCCTCAACCCTAACCCTAACCCTAGCTTTATGTCCACATCCCAGTTCAACCCTCAACCCTCAACCCTAACCCTAGCTTCATGTCCACATCCTGCTTCAACCCTAACCTTAGTCTCAACCCTAACCCTAACTCTAACCCTAGCCTCATGTCCACATCCCAGTTCAACCCTAACCCTAACCCTAGCTTCATGTCCACATCCCGGTTCAACCCTAACCCTAGCTTCAACTCTAACCCTAGCTTCAACCATTTGAGAGCATGCTCAGACTATGAGTGTGCTGGATGGGAGATTCCCATGTCTGTAGGTGTGCCAGATTTAGAGAGCGGAACATTTTTAGACACACGCTAGGTCAGGAAAAGCAACAGGGAGGGCAGGGGGGAGGAGAGGGGGTGTATGTATTTGTTGAAAGTTATGGAGTTTTTGAGACAATGGTATTTAGGTGCATAGTCGTTTAATGTCACATGGACACAGGTCAACTGCTCTGAACAACCTTTGGCAGTCACATGTTCAGTTTTGTTCCAGGTTATGTTTTTAAACTGTTAATACAGATTTTTCTGTGTTTCAGTGGTAAGATAAGTAGTAAGATAAGTTCAAGATTCTGTACTTAAAGCTCTCCCAGTAGTGCAGTGGACTCTAAATACTTATTATTATGTTTAGTTTCACGGTCAATCTACAGTACAAAACAACTACCAAGAGGAACGTGCAAGTGTATTGTGGATGCTCACAGAATATCCTCCATGAATTAATGAAATGTTTGAGTGGTGCTATACATATCAGACTGAGTGCATCGCAACATGTACCTGTATGTCAACATGTAGCATGCATGTAAGCTTTGTTTATACCTGCCGCTAACATGAGTCTTTTGTCCTGATCTTGTCCCATTCTGATTGTGTCCACATTTTCAGAACTATGTCTACACATGGTATTAAAATGTGTCTCATATCCGTCTACTGTGTCAGCATTGTGACCAGATTTTCTGGTCCCTCCTATTTATTTATTTTAAGACACATATTGATGCCATAAGTTAATGGTTCCACCTGTCAATGATTTTTAAAAAGGTGGGATGATGATCCAATTATGAATTTAAATGGTTTCACTGTCCAGAACCATTTACACTTGTAAGACATCCAGACACAATGGCTGCATTTAGACAGGCAGCCCAATTCTGATTTTTTTCTCTCACTAATTGGTCTTTTGACCAATCACATCAGATCTTTCCATATCAGAAAAAGATCTGATGTGGAAAGATATGATGTAATTGGTCGAAAGACCAATTAGTGGAAAAAATATCAGATTTGGTCTGCCTGTGTAAACCAATGGGTCCCTGACTACCTCCAGAGGCGGTCAGGAAGATCTGATCACAATGCGTCTTTTAATCATCTACACCTGTCTGAAAATGTATGCACAATCAGAATGTGGAAAAGATCAGGACAAAGAAATCATGTTAGAACCAGGTATAAACGATACTTATGTCTACAGGTCTCTCTTGTGAAATAGAGTTTTATCTAATGACAATAACAATATATAAATAAAGGTTCAATCAAATGCTTAGCTACAGTAACTGGAGTAAACCTCGTTGACGACTTCAGTCAGTGTAAAACGAGTGAAGTCTTCCCATTAGTTCCATGCTTTAATGAACAATCCTGAAAGTGTATTTTATTGTATCCTTGTTGATATCATCAGGTGGTGACTCCACCAATGTGTTGAGATCATAGAAAGACTGTATAAAAATATATTTGACATTCACTTTTATCCCCTAAGAGATTGTGCTAAACAATGTGAATGACTCTGCAGCAACACAGAATGTTCCACAGGTGGTTGACCTATATTTCAGAACAGGTGTACTGTATTATATAAGCGTAAGCCATCGACTTTACCAATTAGCTGTTGCTAATCATATTGTAGCCTAACCGGCTTAATTCCATTAAACAAGTACATTAACAGTGGCTGTTATAAAACAGACACTACACTCATCAGTATTGACGAACAAAACTGACAATGGAGTTTTCGGGATTATTATCATTTGGTTACATATTATGGACACCAGAACTGTTCATTCTCAAATCTGTCTATCCCCTATCATAGCCATGGACACTTTACATGTTCAGTATAGTGGCTATGAGTTAAGAATAGTGACTTGTTATAAAAGTTATTATAAACTACACTTTCATCACTAACTTAATACATCAGGTAAGATAACTACTTCGCAATTTCTGCCCAATCTAAGATTTTATTTTAAATTCTGTTTGTGTAAACTATACATACAGTGGCTTGCGAAAGTATTCACCCCCCTTGGCATTTTTCCTATTTTGTTGCCTAACAACCTGGAATTAAAATTGATTTTGGGGGGGTTTGTATCATTTGATTTACACAACATGCCTACCACTTTGAAGATGCAAAATATTTGTTATTGTGAAACAAACAAAAAAACTGAAAACTTGAGCGTGCATATGCATATGCATATTCACCCCCCCAAAGTCAGTACTTGGTAGAGCCACCTTTTGCAGCAATTACAGCTGCACGTCTCTTGGTGTATGTCTCTTTAAGCTTGGCACATCTAGCCACTGGGATTTTTGCCCATTCTTCAAGGCAAAACTGCTCCAGCTCCTTCAAGTTGGATGGGTTCCGCTGGTTATAAGTCATGCCACAAATTCTCAATTGGATTGAGGTCTGGGCTTTGACTAGGCCATTCCAATGCATTTAAAATGTTTCCCCTTAAACCACTCGAGTGTTGCTTTAGCAGTATGCTTAGGGTCATTGTCCTGCTGGAAGGTGAACCTCCGTCCCAGTCTCAAATCTCTGGAAGACTGAAACAGGTTTCCCTCAAGAATTTCCCTGTATTTAGCGCCATCCATCATACCTTCAATTCTGACCAGTTTCCCAGTCCCTGCCGATGAAAAACATCCCCACAGCATGATGCTGCCACCACCATGCTTCACTGTGGGGATGCTGTTCTCGGGGTGATGAGAGGTGTTGGGTTTGCGCCAGACATAGCGTTTTCCTTGATGGCCAAAAAGCTCTATTTTAGTCTCATCTGACCAGTGTACCTTCTTCCATATGTTTGGGGAGTCTCCCACATGCCTTTTGGCAAACACTAAACGTGTTTGCTTATTTTTTTCTTTAACCAATGGCTTTTTTCTGGCCACTCTTCCATAAAGCCCAGCTCTGTGGAGTGTACGGCTTAAAGTGGTCCTATGGACAGATACTCCAATCTCCGCTGTGGAGCTTTGCAGCTCCTTCAGGGTTATCTTTGGTCTCTTTGTTGCCTCTCTGATTAATGCCCTCCTTGCATGGTCCGTGAGTTTTGGTGGGTGGCCCTCTCTTGGCAGGTTTGTTGTGGTGCCATATTCTTTCCATTTTTTAATAATGGATTTAATTTTGCTCAAAGTTTCTGATATTTTTTTATAACCCAACCCTGATCTGTACTTCTCCACAATGTTGTCCCTGACCTGTTTGGAGAGCTCCTTGGTCTTCATGGTGCCGCTTGCTTGGTGGTGCCCCTTGCTAAGTGGTGTTGCAGACTCTGGGGCATTTCAGAACAGGTGTATATATATATATACATACTGAGATCATGTGACAGATCGCACACAGGTGGACTTTAACTAATTATGTGACTTCTGAAGGTAATTGGTTGCACCAGATCATATTTAGGGGCTTCATAGCAAAGGGGGTGAATACATATGCACGCACCACTTTTCCATTATTTATTTTTTAGAATGTTTTGAAACAAGTTATTTTTTTCATTTCACTTCACCAATTTGGACTATTTTGTGTATGTCCATTACATGAAATCCAAATAAAAATCAATTTAAATTACAGGTTGTAATGCAACAAAATAGGAAAAACGCCAAGGGGGATGAATACTTTTGCAAGGCACTGTACACACAGTTATATATATACACAAACAAATATTTACGGACTTATTTAGTCACTTGAATAGGGAATACAATTCAATACAAAAGTATGCATTGCAAGAACTTTGATTTATTCAACAACAAAAAGCATGACATCAGAGAAATACTGGGTAAAGTAATTTGTTAGGATTTTTTTGTCTTTAATTATAAAAAGCTATATTATTTATAAACATAGAGGGAGGAAAAGCAGCCTCCATCACTAAAAGGTAAAAAAATCTCAGCCGCCTCAATTTCCTAGATTAGACTCAAGGTGTGGGGTGATGAGGAGTGGGATGTTGGGTGTTGAAGAGAAGGGTTTGGGGAGAAGAGAAGATGGAATTAGGAGGGTGGTGGGCTCCCAGGTTCCACCTTCCCAGAGTCGCTGCTTTCAGCGAGTTGCCTACTGAGCTGCTTCTTCAACACCATCTCCCTGGCGATACACGCCACCTGACCGTTGGCCACTGTGTACGTTCCACTCCTGCAACAAGGAAATATTGTTTAGCTAAAGAGGTACAGAAAAACAATGAACTGGTTACTTAAGATGAGAAGTCTTACAAAGTAAGGACAAATTAAGCACAACATTTAAACTATGCATGGATTTAATCAATTTATGTGACTCTTCGGTTAGGGAACTCACTTCTGTTCAGATCCAACCATGCTGCCAGGCTGGTTCTGTTTGTTTGGGAAGAAGAAAGAAGACCACCAGTGACCAGAGTCTTGTCTCTGCAGACCTGAGGAAGAAAAAACAAGAGGAAACGTTAGGAACCTGGTCATTAGGAATCGAGTGACCGAGAGAGATAAAGTAAAACTCGTCATCGTGCGAGAAACTGGTCTGTACCTGGGGGGTGTGGAATGACTTCGCCAGCGTACTCAGAACTGCCACAGGAGCTGTTGCTAGAGGTGGATCCTATGCGCCTTCTATAGTAATCATGGGTGGCGATGAGAGAGCCAGTGGATGGAATTGATGCCATTTTCTTAAACCTTTACCTCAAACCCTTTCAAAGATGGAAGATGGGAAACCTAGGGAAGAAGGGGATATTATTATGTGTGTGGAGACAGGAACCATACAAGCAGAGGCAAGTGATACTGGGATGAGCCAAATAATATTGGCTATGGATGCTGCTAGATCTCACTGAATGCACCATAACACAACATCAACATAGGCTTTTGTACAGATTTGTCTGTGCAAAGTGTAAGACCTATTTCATCAGCCTGCAACCCATTCCCAGCATTGACACCGCAGAGAACAGGCCTATATTCAACTTCAGCCAAAGTGAGTTAGAAACGTGACTGAGTGACAAAAAAATTTTTTTCTGGATTACTAGCATCATCCATTAACAGAAGCCTATCATTAGCCTATTATAGGCAACGTGTGTTTCCACTTCCCATGCTCCTGACCCCTTGAGCCTCTATCTGATATCACTGTTGGCTTAGCCCCCAGTCTGAGGGTTGTGATAGAGACCAACAGCTGTGCCGAGTGACTTCCACACCATTTTCTGTAAATAAGTGGGCTGTCTGGGACCGGGGTATGCAGGTATAATGTTCCAACTTCTGGGCACCTATCCAGGAAACAGAGTGCTGTGCACGTGCTAGGAGAGTCAAAGGGCTCAACACTTGGTGCTGGCCGCTACAGGACCTCTAAGGTGCTGAGTAAGCCACTCAAAAAGCAGGATATACCAGAAAGCAGGACTATACAGGTTGTGTGAATGTGCATTGCACATTGTATTCATGCCAGCATGGCCAATCCAACCTCATGTGCAGAAAAACAAATGAGACCAGCACTGGCAAGTGTATGATAAACAGACCATCTAGACAAAATGTAGATGCAAAGAGACTAGACAATATCAGCAGTCAAGGCAACAATTATCCAATTGATTAGATAATTATTATTGATATTCCTATTTGATGATATGATGATCAGAATCAGATAGGATACCAAGCTGGTGGAAAAGAGAACCCCACATTCTGATTTCAGTATTTTAAGGCTATTAGCCTACATTGTTAAAGGCAATGTGAAATCTTACTTTTTTATAATTTGTGCCAGGACAATAAATAAAATATCATTACTGTCATAGCTAGCTCTTCCTTTAGTAGGTCAACATATGATTGGACACACATTGTCCATTATTATATGGCCAAGTAGCCTAGGTTACTCAATGGCCCATATTATTTAGCCTTTTCTAAAAGCAATCAAATCAATCTTACCTTTTTTATTTGGCGTTTGATGATGTTGAAAAACACCAAAGGCAGGTGAGGGTCTGTTGACAAGACTCGGTGAATTAAGCTAAACGACTACTTTTGCCCATTTGTGGTATTTTCTCGAATGGAACCCTTCAAAGTCTTTCCAGTGTCCTCAGTGTAGAATGATGAATAGGGACAGGCAGGTAACTTTATACAGTGCGGGCTGTAACCCATCCTTGACGAGCTGCTCATGGGTGGGGTTAGGGCACGTTAAGGCCTACGTTTCCAGGGAAGCCAACCTGAACTCAGGGGTAGACGTAAAATAGTAAACGGAAAGATGACTGCAAATAGTGCCAATATTACTTTTCGTATGATATATTACACATTACAATTCTTATGATATGTTACGAATTGCAATTTGTATAATATGTAACGAATTTGCAAAAGGTATGATATGTTACGAGTTCCAATTTGTTGTGGCTAACGTTAGCTAGGTGGCTAGCACTAACGTTAGCTAGGTGGATAATGTTATCTAGGCTAGAGGTTAGGGGTTAAAGTTAGGGTTAGGGTTACGCTTTGAACACACCAACTGTGTTTTTTGCGTTTTGGTACACCAGAAGTACATTAATTTCCAATGGAACGCTGCGTTCGCCTTGCAGCATTGCGTTGCAGAGGCAGTCACAGTGCTTTCTGTGTGGTGCATACATTGGATTTATCGAACCTAAGTGTCAAACTGTATGTGTAAACGGGTTGACAGAAATGGTAGCAGAAGGTGAATGTTGAACTTTTGTTGCACACATATCTATTTTGCGCAATGACACAGTCGGTGTGTTCAAAGCGTTAGGGCTAAGGTCAGGGTAAGGGGTTAGGAGTTAGGCTAAAGGGTTAATATTAGGGTTAGGGGTAGGGTTAGCTAACATGCTAAGTAGTTGCAAAGTAGCTAAAAGTTGTAAGTAGTTGCAAAGTTGATAATTAGCTAACATTGTCCATGATGAGAGTCAAACACAACCTTTGGGTTGCTAGACTTCGCGTTATATGCACGCATGCCCTTCCGTCCATACCGACCAACTACCCTATGTAATCATTCCAAACATAACATATCATACTAAATACTTTTTCCGGATTTACGTTTAACATGTTACGTCTAGTCTATAAGGCTGGGCAAGCACAAAACATGCGTTGCAATCAATTGCAATGCTTTTGACAGACACTTCATCCAGAATCCGCAGCTGTCGCAAATGTGCAAACAACGAATAACCGAACTTTAACCCAGTAGCCCACTGCTTTAATCTGTTCTTCTACCGCGTGAAAGCAGAACATAATGTCAAAATGTGATTATCTGGCTTTTCCTTTTCAATATTTGTAAGATGATTGGAATCACAGACTATTGTAACAGTTCCTATACATTATCAAGTTTAATTCGGTCAATAATATCGTAATGAAAAGGAAAGACAGAATAATGGGTTTTTCAGGGTTAAAAATATAATATTCTAATTTTCGTATCTGGCTTCAGCCTTCCCTGGTAGTCTAGTGGTTAGGATTCGGCGCTCTCACCGCCGCGGCCCGGGTTCGATTCCCGGTCAGGGAATACGATTTTTTTTTATGACAGTCACTGTTCTACCGGAGTCTATTATACCACCGTACCATGGTTGTAGCTGTCAACAGTAACAACAATATTCACTTTTATGCATCTCTTTATTTTTACCGAAAGGTACAGTATCCAAAATCATTACACATTAGATCAGACCACATACGTTTTAATTGAAAATTCTCTTAAAAGTACAAAAATACATCACTGTACATTTGTGATTGTTATGTTCTTAGAATGCAATAGCAGAATATGACAATGACATTTTCCTACAAACAGTAGGCCAATATAAATAACTACATATTGGAAATACTACTTCAAATTTAGAATGAATGGTTGGAACCAACACTGTCAATGCCAAACCCAAGTCATTACTCCCCTCTATCTCACAACTGAAGCTACATTCATTTATAACATCATAGAATAATCCTTGTAGCTTGACACACATTCAATTCACAGTATGACATTTTAAAGGTCTCCCACCCCACTCCAACAACAAATAAACTGTTAAATATCTCTGCATAGCCCACACATGGAATCCATATACATTTTACTTTGTCATTCATGTATTTATCAACCTCCTGCACAATGTTTACTCTTTGAAGGAGTAGTGTGGACAATGCCATCAGGTTAATGTGATTAAGGGAGTATAGTGAGATTACAGATGGTGGATAGAAAAATAAATTGATTATGTTAGAAGGAACCACTGTTCTGAGATGGGCTTCTTCCAAACCCAGAGACCTCTCCATCATTCCCTCGACTCATGGACACCTTGTTCTGTGTGGGAGAGACAGAAGACAGTAGAGAAATTAGGATTTAGTTTTAATATTAAAGATGAGAAAATACAGTATTTTCTGTTCTTTATGTTTGTGATTGTGAGAGAACACAGACACTCACCTTCACGCTTCCCACCATGTCTTCAAAGGACTTGAATGTATTGGAATGTCTACAAGGAGGCAGAAAGACACATTATCTCTTAAACAATAGAAATCACTTTGAGGTACCATTTCAGGGTAAAGTAACTTTTTCAGCTTTAAATGTAACTTTATTTACTTGCAGCATTAATGTAATTCTAATCTTGTTCACCAGACTCTTCCTCCCCAAGCGCTGTTCGCAATTAGCCTGGGGATGAAGTTAATATCATTCAAACATCATTCACCGCCTATGGAGGTACTGCAGGAAGTAGTAGTAGGGCAGAATTTCAGTGATGTCTGACTGGGAAAGAGGTGTGCACAGTGTTTTACCTCATTGACATAGCAGGCACACTGATGGAGTGGCCCAAGGAGGGGCTGGTGCGTCAGAGAGCAGAAAGAGAGACAAAGAGACATTAGTAAGAGCAGTACATCATGTAGTATAGTAGTGCATCATATAGTATAGTAGTACATCATGTAGTATAGTAGTACATCATGTAATATAGTAGTGCATCATGTAATATAGTAGTACGTCATGTAGTATAGTAGTACATCATGTAGTATAGCAGTACATCATGTAGTATAGTAGTACATCATCTAGTATAGCAGTACATCATGTAGTATAGCAGTACATCCTGTAGTATAGTAGTGCATCATGTAATATAGTAGTACATCATGTAGTATAGTAGTACATCATGTAGTATAGCAGTACATCATGTAGTATAGTAGTACATCATCTAGTATAGCTGTACATCATGCAGTATAGCAGTACATCATGTAATATAGTAGTGCATCATGTAATATAGTAGTACGTCATGTAGTATAGTAGTACGTCATCTAGTATAGCAGTACATCATGTAGTATAGCAGTACATCCTGTAGTATAGTAGTGCATCATGTAATATAGTAGTACATCATGTAATATAGTAGTACATCATGTAGTATAGTAGTACATCATGTAGTATAGCAGTACATCATGTAGTATAGTAGTACATCATCTAGTATAGCTGTACATCATGCAGTATAGCACTACATCATATAGTATAGCAGTACATAATGTAGTATAGCAGTACATCCTGTAGTATAGCAGTACATCCTGTAGTATAGCAGTACATCCTGTAGTATAGCAGTACATCATGTAGCATAGCAGTACAACATGTAGTATAGTAGTACATAATGTAGTATAGTAGTATAGCATGTGAGCAAGAAAAACAGATAAGATCAGTAGCAGCTTAATCAGGTCAGGTTGAAAGGTCAGCAAGCCAAGAAGGTCAGCAACATTAACGTTGACCTATCAACTTGGGTAGTTCACTCAGGTCTAAACTAATGCAACAGTCCACTCAGTAGTTAGTTTGAGTAAGTAGTTCACTCAGATCTAAGGTAGTAAAGTCTTGCAGGGCCGAGGAGCTAATGCAACAGTCTGTGAGAATATATCACCAGGGAACTCCTACTATCCTTACCGAGGTGGGCTTGGCAAAGGCAGTGCCCTGTCCGGTCAGTGGGCAGCGTTACAGGAAAGCAATGGGGAAAGAGAGACGGTCAGATACAGTAATCAAGAGGCCACATGGAGGTGTAAATATTGTCAGTGCGCTGTATGAGTGTGTGTGTATAACTTAAACCATCATTAATGGCAAGCAAAAATGCATCACACCGACAGCTACCCTTTACACAGGCTCAATTTAAAGGCTTTGTGAAAGAACAGTAAAGTAGATAAGCGATATTGCGTAAACAAGTGCACAAGAAGAAACCTTTGTCCTCAACAAATGTGTCCTGTGAAGGGGAACGGCATTGTTATGACATGCATTACGCCATTACGTTTGTACTATGTTGTGTATGGCTGGTCAGAGGATAAAAAGTTGTGTATATATATACACATGACTCTACAAGGTGTCGAAAGCATGCCACAGGGATGCTGGCCCATGTTGACTCCAATGCTTCCCACAGTTGTGTCAAGTTGCCTGGATGTCTTTTGGGTGGTGGACCATTCTTGATACACACGGAAAACTGTTGAACGTGAAAAACCCAGCAGCGTTGCAGTTCTTGACACACTCAAACCGGTGAGCCTGGCACCTACTACCATACCCCGTTCAAAGGCACTTAAATATTTTGTCTTGCCCATTCACCCTCTGAATGGCACACATACAGAATCCATGTCTCAATTGTCTCAAGGCTTAAAAATATATTTTTAACATGTCTCCTCCCCTTCATCTACACTGATTGAAGTGGATTTAACAGGTGCCATCAATAAGGGATCATAGCTTTCACCTTGATTCACCTGGTCAGTCTATGTCATGGAAAGAGCAGTTGTATATATATATATAACTGGATTAAAAAGATGGATGATTGATTTAGTGGATTAAGACAAAATGACGGATATGAAGGGTGGACATAGCTGGTGGACAGATGAGTAATAGAGGTGGTGAAGGAAGATGGAAAGAATAGAAGAGTGTATGGGAGGATGAGCTGAGGGTACCTCATGTCTCCAAGTCTCCTTGTAATGGCCACACCCATTGTGGACAGGGCAGCACTGGTCATCTGTCCTGCATTAGAGATATTCTCCTGGGTCCTCTTATACCTAGTCACAGAAAGCGAGAGACAGAGTCAGAGATATAGAAAAGATAGGAAGTTTATATTTTGACTGCCAATCAGTCGGCATGACTACTATAGTATATCAAGGGGGAAAAGGGCAAAACTTAACCTATGTCACTGAGGTGTGTTCAAAGTACACCCTACACAAGAACTTCATTTGCATATTGGCGCATCCACATCCTCATATTCCACTTTCATGGATCCTCCTTTTCACAGTGACGAGCATGCTGTGTGCCACCACAGCAGCAGCAGGAGGACACATGCTGTGAGCATGGATGGACCGGTTGAAACACGATGGGTGAAACCCCAAAACACGAGCCATCAGCTCCTTTGTCATCACCCCCGTCCTAGTGCAGATAGCCAGACACCCCCACCTCCTCTGGTTTCACCAAGTGAAGTGCTCCCTCCCCGGCCAGGCCAGCCACAGCCTGTTGTTAATGCTGCTGCCAGTGTTAAACAGGCTATTAGACAGGCTATTAACAGGCCTCTGATCCAGCTGACTTTAAAATCCTATCAGCTGTTCCAACATAGAGCTTAGAACAACATAGAACAACAACACTTTTAGAAAAGCCCGTCTTGGTTAACTTTATATACAGTGGGGAGAACAAGTATTTGATACACTGCCGATTTTGCAGGTTTTCCTACTTACAAAGCATGTAGAGGTCTGTAATTTTTATCATAGGTACACTTCAACTGTGAGAGACGGAATCTAAAACAAAAATCCAGAAAATCACATAGAATGATTTTTAAGTAATTAATTTGCATTTTATTGCATAACATAAGTATTTGATCACCTACCAACCAGTAAGAATTCCGGCTCTCACAGACCTGTTAGTTTTTCTTTAAGAAGCCCTCCTGTTCTCCACTCATTACCTGTATTAACTGCACCTGTTTGAACTCGTTACCTGTATAAAAGACACCTGTCCACACACTCAATCAAACAGACTCCATCCTCTCCACAATGGCCAAGACCAGAGAGCTGTGTAAGGACATCAGGGATAAAATTGTAGACCTGCACAAGGCTGGGATGGGCTACAGGACAATAGGCAAGCAGCTTGGTGAGAAGGCAACAACTGTTGGCACAATTATTAGAAAATGGAAGAAGTTCAAGATGACGGTCAACCTCGGTCTGGGGCTCCATGCAAGATCTCACCTCGTGGGGCATCAATGATCATGAGGAAGGTGAGGGATCAGCCCAGAACTACACGGCAGGACCTGGTCAATGACCTGAAGAGAGCTGGGACCACAGTCTCAAAGAAAACCATTAGTACACACTGCGCCGTCATGGATTAAAATCCTGCAGCGCACGCAAGGTCCACCTGCTCAAGCCAGCGCATGTCCAGGCCCGTCTGAAGTTTGCCAATGACCATCTGGATGATCCAGAGGAGGAATGGGAGAAGGTCATGTGGTCTGATGAGACAAAAATAGAGCTTTTTGGTCTAAACTCCACTCGCCGTGTTTGGAGGAAGAAGAAGGATGAGTACAACCCCAAGAACACCATCCCAACCGTGAAGCATGGAGGTGGAAACATCATTCTTTGGGGATGCTTTTCTGCAAAGGGGACAGGACGACTGCACCGTATTGAGTGGAGGATGGATGGGGCCATGTATCGCGAGATCTTGGCCAACAACCTCCTTCCCTCAGTAAGAGCATTGAAGATGGGTCGTGGCTGGGTCTTCCAGCATGACAACGACCCGAAACACACAGCCAGGGCAACTAAGGAATGGCTCCGTAAGAAGCATCTCAAGGTCCTGGAGTGGCCTAGCCAGTCTCCGGACCTGAACCCAATAGAACATCTTTGGAGGGAGCTGAAAGTCCGTATTGCCCAGCGACAGCCCTGAAACCTGAAGGATCTGGAGAAGGTCTGTATGGAGGAGTGGGCCAAAATCCCTGCTGAAGTGTGTGCAAACCTGGTCAAGACCTACAGGAAACGTATGATCTCTGTAATTGCAAACAAAGGTTTCTGTACCAAATATTAAGTTCTGCTTTTCTGATGTATCAAATACTTATGTCATGCAATAAAATGCAATAAAATGCAAATGAATTACTTAAAAATCATACAATGTGATTTTCTGGATTTTTGTTTTAGATTCCGTCTCTCACAGTTGAAGTGTACCTATGATAAAAATTACAGACCTCTACATGCTTTGTAAGTAGGAAAACCTGCAAAATCGGCAGTGTATCAAATACTTGTTCTCCCCACTGTATATAATGGATGTAAACATAGTGACCACTCACACGTTAGATTGGCTGATGTCCTCCAGAGTAGCTGAGGCTGTCAGATATCTGTAAATACAGAGGTACATTATCATCAGGGCTCCATCTTGGAGAGAGCACTAAGTACTGAAGATGAGCGTGCATTTCAGGATTATGTACAGTTGAAGTCGGAAGTTTACATACACTTAGGTTGGAGTCATTAAAACTTGTTTTTCAACCACTCCACAAATTTCTTGTTAACAAACTATAGTTTTGGCAAGTTGGTTAGGACATCTACTTTGTGCATGACACAAGTAATTTGTCCAACAATTGTTTACAGACAGATTATTTCACTTATAATTCACTGTATCACAATTCCAGTGGGTCAGAAGTTTACTAAGTTGACTGTGCCTTTAAACAGCTTGTAAAATTCCAGAAAACTATGTCATGGCTTTAGAAGCTTCTGATAGGCTAATTGACATCATTTGAGTCAATTGGAGGTGTACCTGTGGATGTTTTTCAAGGCCTATCTTCAAACTCAGTGCCTCTTTGCTTGACATCATGGGAAAATCAAAAGAAATCAGCCAAGACCTCAGAAAATAATTGTAGACCTCCACAAGTCTGTGGTCCTCTGTAGCTCAGCTGGTAGAGCACGGTGCTTGTAACGCCAAGGTAGTGGGTTCGATCCCCGGGACCACCCATACACAAAAATGTATGCACGCACGACTGTAAGTCGCTTTGGATAAAGGCGTCTGCTAAATGGCATATTAAATTTAAAATTAAATTAAAAGTCTGGTTCATCCTCGGGAGCAATTTCCAAACGCCTGAAGGTACCACGTTCATCTGTACAAACAATAGTACGCAAGTATAAACACCATGGGACCATGCAGCCGTCGTACCGCTCAGGAAGGAGACGTGTTCTGTCTCCTAGAGATGAACGTACTTTGGTGCGAAAAGTGCAAATCAATCCCAGAACAACAGCAAAGGACCTTGTGAAGATGCTGGAGGAAACAGGTACAAAAGTATCTATAGCCACAGTAAAACGAGTCCTATATCGACATAACCTGAAAGGCCGCTCAGCAAGGAAGAAGCCACTGCTCCAAAACCGCCATAAAAAAGCCAGACTACGGTTTGCAACTGCACATGGGGACAAAAATCGTACGTTTTGGAGAAATGTCCTCTGGTCTGATGAAACAAAAATAGAACTGTTTGGCCATAATGACCATCGTTATGTTTGGAGGAAAAAGGGGGTAACTTACAAGCCGAAGAACACCATCCCAACCGTGAAGCACGGGGGTGGCAGCATCATGCTGTGGGGGTGCATTGCTGCAGGAGGGACTGGTGCACTTCACAAAATAGATGGCATCATGAGGAAGGAAAATTATGTGGATATATTGAAGCAACATCTCAAGACATCAGTCAGGAAGTTAAAGCTTGGTCGCAAATGGGTCTTCCAAATGGAATAATGACCCCAAGCATACTTCCAAAGTTGTGGCAAAATGGCTTAAGGACAACAGCGTCAAGGTATTGGAGTGGCCATCACAAAGCCCTGACCTCAATCCTATAGAACATTTGTGGGCAGAACTGAAAAAGCGTGTGCGAGCAAGGAGGCCTACAAACGTGACTCAGTTACACCAGCTCTGTCAGGAGGAATGGGCCAAAATTCACCCAACTTTTTGTGGGAAGCTTGTGGAAGGCTACCCGAAATGTTTGACCCAAGTTAAACAATTTAAAGGCAATGCTACCAAATACTAATTGCGTGTATGTAAACTTCTGACCCACTGGGAATGTGATGAAATAAATACAGTGGGGGAAAAAAGTATTTAGTCAGCCACCAATTGTGCAAGTTCTCCCACTTAAAAAGATGAGAGAGGCCTGTAATTTTCATCATAGGTACACGTCAACTATGACAGACAAAATGAGAGAAAAAAAATCCAGAAAATCACATTGTAGGATTTTTTTATGAATTTATTTGCAAATTATGGTGGAAAATAAATATTTGGTCAATAACAAAAGTTTCTCAATACTTTGTTATATACCCTTTGTTGGCAATGACACAGGTCAAACGTTGTCTGTAAGTCTTCACAAGGTTTTCACACACTGTTGCTGGTATTTTGGCCCATTCCTCCATGCAGATCTCCTCTAGAGCAGTGATGTTTTGGGGCTGTCGCTGGGCAACACGGACTTTCAATTCCCTCCAAAGATTTTCTATGGGGTTGAGATCTGGAGACTGGCTAGGCCACTCCAGGACCTTGAAATGCTTCTTACGAAGCCACTCCTTCATTGCCCGGGCGGTGTGTTTGGGATCATTGTCATGCTGAAAGACCCAGCCACGTTTCATCTTCAATGCCCTTGCTGATGGAAGGAGGTTTTCACTCAATCTCACGATACATGGCCCCATTCATTATTTCCTTTACACAGATCAGTCGTCCTGGTCCCTTTGCGGAAAAACAGCCCCAAAGCATGATGTTTCCACCCCCATGCTTCACAGTAGGTATGGTGTTCTTTGGATGCAACTCAGCATTATTTGTCCTCCAAACACGACGAGTTGAGTTTTTACCAAAAAGTTCTATTTAGGTTTCATCTGACCATATGACATTCTCCCAATCCTCTTCTGGATCATCCAAATGCACTCTAGCAAACTTCAGACGGGCCTGGACATGTACTGGCTTAAGCAGGGGGACACGTCTGGCACTGCAGGATTTGAGTCCCTGGCGGCGTAGTGTGTTACTGATGGTAGGCTTTGTTACTTTGGTCCCAGCTCTCTGCAGGTCATTCACTAGGTCCCCCCGTGTGGTTCTGGGATTTTTGCTCACCGTTCTTGTGATCATTTAGAACCCCACAGGGTGAGATCTTGCGTGGAGCCCCAGATCGAGGGAGATTATCAGTGGTCTTGTATGTCTTCCATTTCCTAATAATTGCTCCCACAGTTGATTTCTTCAAACCAAGCTGCTTACCTATTGCAGATTCAGTCTTCCCAGCCTGGTGCAGGTCTACAATTTTGTTTCTGGTGTCCTTTGACAGCTCTTTGGTCTTAGCCATAGTGGAGTTTGGAGTGTGACTGTTTGAGGTTGTGGACAGGTGTCTTTTATACTGATAACAAGTTCAAACAGGTGCCATTAATACAGGTAACGAGTGGAGGACAGAGGAGCCTCTTAAAGAAGAAGTTACAGGTCTGTGAGAGCCAGAAATCCTGCTTGTTTGTAGGTGACCAAATACTTATTTTCCACCATACTTTGCAAATAAATTCATTAAAAATCCTACAATGTGATTTCCTAGAAAAAAAAATCTCAATTTGTCTGTCATAGTTGACGTGTACCTATGATGAAAATTACAGGCCTCTCTCATCTTTTTAAGTGGGAGAACTTGCACAATTGGTGGCTGACTAAATACTTTTTTTCCCCACTGTAAAAGCCGAAATAAATCATTATCTTTACTATTATTCTGACATTTCACATTCTTAAAATAAAGTGGTGATCCTAACTGACCTAAGACAGGGAATTTTTACTAGTATTAAATGTCAGGAATTGTGAAAAACTGAGTATAAAGGTTTTTGGCTAAGGTGTATGTAAACTTCCGACTTCAACTGTAGGTATTATGCCAGGCTAAAACAGGGTGCTGACATTGCATGCTTTTCTACAGCGTTCTGCCAGAAATAATAATAGATACAATAGCCGTTTTGGCAGGCTTAGTTCACCTTTGCCCAACTTTTACTCACATTAAGTCAGAGTCAAAACTGCCCTGGTTCATTTGCAAAGGCTCGCCATTAGTTTGAAATCTATCCACAGTTTTGGAATGCCTTCAATTCTGATAGTGTCTCAGGGGGAGTTGGAATATGCAAAAAAACAATTTCCAATTCACAAATGCATATAATACACAATTGTACATGTGTGACATAGGACAAATATACTGAACAGAAATATAAACGCAACATGTAAAGTGTTGGTCCCATGTTTCATGAGCTGAAATAAAAGATCCCAGAAATGTTCCATACGCACAAAAAGCTTATTTCTCTCAAATGTTGAATGTTCATTTCTCTACCATAAGCCGTCTTAGGGAAGCTCATCTGCGTGCTCGTCATTCTCACCAGGGTCTTGACCTGACTGCAGTTTGATTTCAGTGGGCAAATGCTCACCTTCGATGGCCACTGGCACGCTGGAGAATTGTGCTCTTCACGGATGAATCCCTGTTTCAAATGCACCGGGCAGAAGGCAAACAGTGTGTTTGTGGGCGAACGGTTTGCTGATGCCAACGTTGTGAACAGAGTGCCCCAGGGTGGCAGTGTGGTTATGGTATGGGCAGGCATAAGCTACAGACAACGAACAAAATTGCATTTTATTGATGGCAATTTGAATGCACAAAGATACCATGATGAGATCCAGAGGCCCATTGTTGTGTCATTCATCCACCGCCATCACCTCATGTTTCAGCCTGATAATGCATGGCCCCATGTCGCAAGGATCTGTACACAATTCCTGGAAGCTGAAAATGTCCCAGTTCTTCCATGGCCTGCATACTCAACAGACATGTCACCCATTGAGCATGTTTGGGATGCTCTGAATCGACGTGTACGACAGTGTGTTCTAGTTCCCACCGATATTCAGCATCTTCGCACAGCCATTGAAGAGGAGTGGGACAACATTTCACAGGCCACAATCAACAGACTTATCAACTCTATGCGAAGGAGCTGTGTCTGTCACACTCCATGAGACAAACTGTGGTCACACCAGATATTGACTGGTTTTCTGATCCACGGCCCTACTTTGTTTAAAAGGTATCTGTGACCAACAGATGCATATCTGTATTCCCAGTCAAGTGAAATCCATAGATTAGGGCCTAATGAATTTATTTCAATTGACTGATTTCTTTTTTTTGCAGTGTATATATAAGCACCCACCAAATTATTATTATTATTATTACCAATTCTGATGTATTATTATCAAGCTTCATATGTCATTCACTGACAGTCACTCAATCAGCCCATGTCAGCTAACTTTTTTTTAGATGGGTAAGTTAGTCTTTATAATGCCTCAGGTTACTTTAATACATTTCTGGTGGTGATGTCGTATAGGCGGTTGAAGAAGCAGGAGTGTTGTGTGACATCATGAGGGCATCTCACAGGAGGAAGTACTTACGCATTGGAGGTCTGGACTTCCTGCCAGCCTTTGGACAGGTTCTGTTTAATCTCACTGAAGGGGCCCATACCCAGCTGCCTCTTGATGTCCATCGCATATTTCTCTTTGGCCAAGAGTACCTGCCGCAAAGTCTGTATTTCATCCTCCGTCTGAGCAGAACAAAATGGCAAAAAAGTTTACAACGTTCAAGGATCCAGAGTTCAGACTAAAAAGTAAAAATTGTGGATTTTTTAATTATTCTATGACTTGTCTTTTTCCATTCACTTGGGTGCAAATCAAAATCTGAACAAAATATTATCCTAAGAGACACATTCAACATAAATGAATATGACAATGTTTGACAACATGAAGAATGGGACAAAAGGGCAAAGTTGGACAGACACAGAGAGAATAATACCTTTGCCAGCTCCATCTTTAAATCAACCTCATCCTCCTCTGATAGACCGTTAGTAGGACTTCCAATTCTTGATATTCCAATGGAAATGTTCCTTGGTGAAACATTTTCCCCACTGTAACCTTTGAAAGGAGTATACATGTTACTGTCTACAATGCATACCCATATCAATGCTCGAGCTGTGACTTAATTCATTAATATTCAATCAGTTGTTGACATAAATTATTGCTCTACTGGCAGTTCATCTTCATGAAGTCAACAGCTTGTAAGGACAGGCTGAAGATGTCCTCAACAATATGTGTGTAGCATACATCATTATTTTTATTTTTTTAGGAACTCAGTCAGGTCTCAACTTACTGTTGAGAGTTAGAATAGTAAAATGCACAAGGTGCAATTTCGAAATGTGGTTGTGCATCAGCAGTCTTTCTCTTGTAATATCAGTCACTGAGAGTCACTCAATTAGCCCATTTCAGCTCACTTTTTTTAGATAATAATAATAATATGCCATTTAGCAGACGCTTTTATCCAAAGCGACTTACAGTCATGCGTGCATACATTTTTGTGTATGGGTGGTCCCGGGGATCGAACCCACTACCTTGGCGTTACAAGCGCCGTGCTCTACCAGCTGAGCTACAGAGGACCAGATGAGTAAATTAGTCTAGCGGCCATCTATCTAAACTTGTAGTATTCATGGTCGAATTATAGACCGGAGGGCACCCATTGATTTTGTTATTCACTCTCAGTCAGATATCATAAGCAAACATTTCTCTCCGCCCAATGGCAAATTGTGTAGAATTTCAGAAAACTTTCTTTAAAACAGCAACATTTTCTCTACACCCCATGGCAAAATGTGTAGAATTGCAGGAATCGAACTCTAAAACATATTATTTTTTGTCTCCGCTGTCAAGAGGAGGCCGCTAAAAAGTGTGGGGGGGACGGGGGGACGACGACAACATTTCGCTTAGAGCCCCCAAAAGGCTAGGGCCGGGTCTGAGCTGCATGTGTGGGTATGGATGTGGTGGGTACGCAGACCCGCAAGCGACTGCGACCCCTAATGATGAGTTCAGATTTTTTTGTGTCCCACACTCCTATCAAAGTTGCCCATCCCTGGTGTAGGCCTACTGGGCCACTGTGTTGACCCAGTGCGTTGTTCTCAATTTCGCCCAGCGCGCTGTCCATGGTGCTGAAATCCATGGCTACCTGTAGCGCTAGCAATAGCATTGCGTGTGGCTGATCACGCATAGCAGGAGAGGCTAGGTACGGTCGAATTGAAAGTATTTTTTATCTCACCGTGTGATCCAGAGTAGGATGTCAGTCGGTCATTTAACAATTCAACAATCTAGCCATAGTAAATTAAATGCAACCGACTTACCTTGCCTATTCATGATCAGCAGAGGCATAAACAATTCCGTTTCACCCAGCACGTCTTTTCCGTGTTCGAGCTAACGTTAGCTCTTGCTAAATGGTGTCCAATCCCTACTGGTCAATACTAGATCTCTCAAATGCTTCTCTATACTCAAATTCAGTATCACGCAATGGTTTACATGCCTAAGCCATTTACTGAAAATCAAAAACACTATAATGTAGTCTTATTGGAATATTAACGTTATGTTGCGTTGTTTATTCAAGGCGAAAAAGCTATGTGTTTTGAGAATGGGAGTTAATCCCGCACGTGAGTGTGTGAGATGATGGGGGCGTGCCACTGTCGAGTAAACAAATTCGAGGAATTTTTATACAGATCGTCCACATTGTTCATCGATGTTATTTTATAAAGTATAGGCTATCCTATTCATGCAGAACGAACTTTGCTGCTGCTGCGGGAAACACAAATAGCCACCTGTGCAGCCTGTGCTGGATCTTTCAGGGTTGGTCAAATATCCATCAGGTGGTAAAATGAGTGAGCGCTGAAGAGAGGATTCCACAGCACGAGCTCTGTCTCCATCTACTGGCGAAATCAATGCACCAAGACACCTCATATTCTAGTGTTGGCCTCCAGTACGTCGTAGGCCTATTTGAAGGTACCAGCACTATAATATTATATTTTCAGTCTACTGTAGTAGCACGACACTTAATGATACTTGCATATCGTAATTGCAGCATAGCATGATAATTGAAATGATAAACAAAACAACAGGTAAATGTTCAAGAACATTTATTTTACCAACAGCAAATCAGATCAATGACCCACTTCGTTTTCTTTCAGACACACAAGTATTACCATGCTACAACATAAAGGTCAAGATTTATACTACATATTTAAGTGTATGTACAAGAGACCTTAACCATTAAACCATGCGTTGCAAAATTTAATGGCCACATCAAAACAACATACCATTTATTACTATAGCCGCTCATCATCAAAAACATGACAAAATAAGATACCAAAAATAAAATAAATTGCATCAAATTATTATATCACTATCATTACACGTCCTCTGTATCAAGAAAAATGTTATGTAACCATTTCCTGATCATTGATCCAGTAGTTTTTTTTTGAACACACATTGCATTCAACTCATTTAACAATTAGCATTTTCCAACATCTCAATGAAGAAGCGATAACAGGTAGGTATATCTATGGGATTTTTTCTCAGGAGGGCACAGCAAACACTGTAAAAGGATCACACAGGTCAAATAACCATACCATCAAAAGCAGAGGGCAGGCGAGAGGAGCTCAGGACCCCCATCATTGTAAACCATTGAAACACATAATTGGCATTAATGAAACAAACAAACAATGAAGATAATGGCTGGTTATGTATTAGTTACACTGGATGTATATTCAGCTCTATATATTTCTATTAAAAACATAAGTATATTCTGGTTATAGGATAAGAGCTGCCTGTAGTAGTGCTAGCCCACTCACCAATACCGACACTCAGAATTCAATGATGGTAAAAACAAATTAACAGCATTGGACAATTACAACACTCTTTAGAATTCCCTTCAACACAACTATAAAAAAACAAGATGATGATAATATTCTTCAAATGCTCACACATTTTTCCTACACACACAGTACTGTATAAATATTAATAAAAATAAAAATATGAAAATGGTCACATTATATTTTTCGTCACATCTAAACATAGATGAATAGTGCTCGGAATAAAATAGATGTCACACTCTAAATATGGATCAGGTCAAGGTCCTTGGCTTAGACAGTGTGGGGTACCACTCGGAACCACAAGAACAGAAAGCACTGGTAAAACGTATGAAATAACTGGATATCGAGAACATCCATTCAAATGTGCAGAGAAGTGTTGCTCAGAGATGTCTGGGACGCGTCCCAGCAATCCAACGGGACTGTGGGTGGCACAGTGGCAAGTAAAACTACACAAAATATACATTAATACATGTGTAAACAAACCTATATGTATCATATTTATCTTCTGGTGTTAGTCAGTTCTTCAATGCAGGGAAGTTAGGGGCAAGATTACAAGCATTCAATTCAGGTTTCAGGGGCAGGACAAAACAATGCTTCCTACACAAAACAAGAGACCAAACTAAGCCAAGTCAGATAACGGAAAAGCCAAGACCCACCAAATGTTAAGAAAACAATGACGTCATCATCAGCATTTCATGATATTGCCGTCATAAATCCCCACCCCCCTTCTACATGCACAGGTCTCATGGCAACATAACTACAATGCAATTGGAAGGGCACAAACACAGATAAACATGAGTCCAAATCGATGGGTTTAAAAGTGGTTGAAGGGAAGAAGCTATATGTTTATAACTGGCATCAGCTGATTGCAATTCCAAACTGAGCATTTTGTAGCTCAAACCTTGGATGTTTAATGATTACTCCACCATGCAGCAAAGACAATGAACAGCAACACACCTCACTATCCACAACTCCCTGAGCCGAGCCTCTCTTATCAGTGAGCAAAAAACATCAAGTAAACTGTACCCCAAATGAATCACACTCACACATACACTACCGTTCAAAAGTTTGGGATCACTTAGAAATGTCCTTGTATTCGAAAGAAAAGCAACATTTTTGTCCATTAAATTAACATCAAATTGATACAGTGTAGACATTGTCAATGTTGTAAATGGCTATTGTAGCTGGAAATGGCTGATTTTAATGGAATGTCTACATAGGCGTACAGAGGCCTATTATCAGCAACCATCAGTCCTGTGTTCCAATGGCACGTTGTGTTTGCTGATCCAAGTTTATCATTTTAAAAGGCGAATTGATCATTAGAAAACCCTTTTGCAATTATGTTAGCACAGCTGAAAACTGTTGTGCTGATTAAAGAAGCAATAAAACGGGCCTTCTTGAGACTAGTTGAGTATCTGGAGCATCAGCAATTGTGTGTTCGATTACAGGCTCAAAATGGCCAGAAACATAGAACGTTCTTCTGAAACTCAGTCTATTCTTGTTCTGAGAAATGAAGGCTATACCCGTAAAACACCAGTCTCAACGTCAACAGTGAAGAGGCGACTCCGGGATGCTTACCTTCTAGGCAGAGTTGCAAAGAAAAAGCCATATCTCAGACTGCCCATCTTAATATTTTATTTTTATTGGCCAGTCTGAGATATGGCTTTTTCTTTGCAACTCTGCCTAGAAGGTCAGCATCCCGGAGTCGCCTCTTCACTGTTGACGTTGAGACTGGTGTTTTGCGGGTACTATTTAATGAAGCTACCAGTTGAGGACCTGTGAGGCGTCTGTTTCTCAAACTAGACACTCTAATGTATTTGTCCACCTGCTCAGTTGTGCACCGGGGCCACCCACTCCTCTTTCTATTCTGGTTAGAGCCAGTTTGCGCTGTTCTGTGAAGGGAGTAGTACTCAGCGTTGTACAAGATCTTCAGTTACTTGGCAATTTCTCGCATGGAATGGCCTTCATTTCTCAGAACAAGAATAGACTGACGAGTTTCAGAAGAACGTTCTTTGTTTCTGCCGATTTTGAGCCTGTAATCAAACCCACAATTGCTGATGCTCCAGATACTCAACTAGTCTCAAGAAGGCCAGTTTTATTGCTTCTTTAATCAGCACAACAGTTTTCAGCTGTGCTAACATAATTGCAAAAGGGTTTTCTAATGATCAATTTGCCTTCTAAAATGATAAACTTGGATTAGCAAACACAACGTGCCATTGGAACACAGGACTGATGGTTGCTGATAATGGGCCTCTGTACGCCTATGTAGATATTCCATAAACAATTAGCCGTATCCAGCTACAATAGCCATTAACAACATTAACAATGTCTACACTGTATTTCTGATCAATTTGATGTTATTTTAATGGACAAAAAAATTGCTTTTCTTTCAAAAACAAGGACATTTCTAAGTGACCCCAAACTTTTGAATGGTAGTGTACATATTGCACATACCTACGCACCAACAGAATTCTCCAAAAACAACAAATGTCACATTCAACAAAATAAAACAAAATAATACACCATGACACTGAATATGGAAAGGGCACTGTGGGGTTGGAGGATTGTGAGGTCAAACGCCAAAGAATACAAAAGAACAAACAGCAGGGAAGCAAACATTTTTTTTCTCTTTCTTCCTACATAGAGGCGGGAGTGGACCACTCTGGATAGGGTGGAAAGGGAGGGGGGGTATCTTCAAGAGTTTGGTATGTAGGCCAAGCTCGCTTCTCCATCTCCTCTCCAGGACATGGCGCTCTTAGTGAAGTTTAAACAGATTGCCCCTCTCATCCTTTTAAGGTGGAGCAGGGTAGCAGGCAGGGCCACAGGCCAGGACAGGGGTGGGGTTTAGTTGAAGCCCATGTCGGTCTGGTAGGTGGAATGGTGACCATCTGACGTCAGCTGGGTGGTCTCTGTCGCTGATGGCTGCACCAAGATGGCTTCACCGCCAGCCTCTGTCAGAGAGAGACCGACACACACACACATGCACACGCACAGGGTAAGATATAAAGGGTCAGTGATGATGGCACTCCATAGTAAACTACAATGCAATTGAGACAAGTCAAGTGTAAGTGATAGGGTTGCAAACCTCTGGTAAAGTTACCAACATTATGCAACCCCAGTCACTGATGAAGTGATTTGTGTTCATGCAGAAACATGTTTCTTACACAATAAGCAGTCGATCTCACCTCTCTCGTCAGACTGCATCTGGGCCTCCAGGTCCTCAGGGGACACATAGAAGTCGGGCTCATGGCCCTCTGGGGGCCGCGGTTTACACTTTCCACAACAGCAGTTACAGCAACAACACAGGCAACAGCAGAAGTAGCAGCCAGTGGCCAGGCCACAGAACACAAACAACGCCTGCAGCGGGAAAACAAGGCAGCGTGTGTGTAAGAGAGCGAGAGAGAGAGAGATCAAGAAGAAAAAAAACAATAACAATAGCCAACAATGTTAGAGAGGCTTTGTTTTATTTTTACAGGGTTTGTGTTATATTTGACCATAAGTCCACTCTACATGTCGACCCCTCACCTCCCCACCTCCCCATGGCCCCTTGCAGTCTCACCTTAGCCCACCAGCTGGACAGAACAAAGTAGGTGTTGACATTCTCCTCGCCAAACTGCTCAGCCACGTACAGTCCCAGGGAGCCGTACTTGTCATAGATGTTCCGCTTGGTGGGGTCGTTCAGAATGGCATGGGCATTGTTGATCTCCTTAAACTTGTCAGAAGCTTCCGGGTTATCTGGGTTCTTATCAGGGTGGAATTTCAACGCAAGTTTTCTAAGAACACATAAGAGTGAGAATTAGAATCTACCAATAAACACAACATAAGTCTATATTTATATAACTCGAAATTATTTTTTTCTTTTTTATTGATTATGAGTATTAGTATGACTACTACAGTAAGTGTCTGTGCCTTTCTGACTGACCTGTAGGATTTCTTGATATCGTCGGGAGTGGCTAGCTTGTCAATGCCAAGCACAATGTAGAGTGATTCACCAGAGGTGGAGAGTGAGCGCTGTCTTGCCTGTTCATGAGCTGCCATGATGCCTCACGTCCTTCACAATCTTAACGCAGAGAAAAGGAAGCAATGCAGATGTTTATTTATAAATGAGTAATCATTATTCTATTATTCAGCATATAGCACCCTGTGTGTTGACTAAAGCAGTGTCTTTTTCATTCTCACAAATACAGTGTATGTGCAATTCTGCCCCAAATTCACTAAATACTCCCACACTCCAGGAATCTATTGGACACCTTATCCCTACTGCCACTCCAAATTGGTGCACTCTCAGCAGGGTTTCCCTGACTCCAGTAGGACTACCCTGTAAGAGGACAGCAGAGTAAATGTATGAAAATGTATGCACTCACTAACTGTACGTCGCTCTGGATAAGAGTGTCTGCTAAAATGACTAAAATGTAAATAATCTGCCTGTGAATCTAGATGCCTCCTCCGACAACAAATTAGACAATTTAGTCACATACTATTAGATTATTTTGGGTTTCTATTTAGAATAGGTCTACAAATGCCAGAATCATGTAGCTATTACTAAATCAATAACACATTCACTTGTTGTCATTCTCAGTCACTCAGTGTTGTCAAATTTAGAGCTGAGGTCTCACGCAAATCACTGATATTAATTGCAATGTGTACTCTAGGGGGTCTTTTTTCAGAATAGCTACTCTGTCAACTCTGTCATTGTCAATTGTTGCGATAGGAAATCAGTAAGAAGTTAACAAATCCCCTTGTGCAGTCTGAAGCTATAGCAGGATGTTTCAAACATCAAGATACTACAGTTTAAGACAGCACAAGGGCCTATAGCATTAAGAAAACCTCAAGGGCCTTCTGTAGTGATGGTATGGCCAAAATGATTCATCTTGAGCATTTTCCATCATAGGCCTATCCCTGAATAAAAAACAATGTCAGCTCAAATAATGTACTCAATTGGATGCTCAATTTAAAGTAATAGTGGAAATGCTGAGACTTAATGTGAGGTGGTCCTGTGGAGTGAGAATCGTTATTTACATCCAAGGAAGCAGCTGGCCACATAGGCTAGATTTATTGAGATGGCGGACTAGTCGTAAAATAATTTTCAACCTCCAGCCGATATAAACTACCGTATTTTCAACCTCCAGCCGATATAAACTACCGTATCTTCAACCTCAAGCCGATATAAACTACCATATCTTCAACCTTCAGCCGAACTAGCTGATACCATTCATAGGCCATGTAACAACGACTGATCAAATGACTCATTTTAACAAAAATCGACGTTTGCAAAATGTCAAAACCCGTACACTTTGACGCTGGTTAAATACATGGAATACATGACCCATTCATGGAATGTCCTTTTGCTATAAGGACAAATAAATAATATAATACATATTCAGGATCATTTTGAATCTGTAAATGCGATGCTTGGTGCAGTTAATCTCTGTAGCTGCATCACCAGCAGCACTGCGCAGCATCCATGTTGGTTTGCTTGCTAGCCTTCTCTAGATGCAAGATAGAACTCGCTCAAATCAGCAGTAATTTTCAAGGGCTAGGGAAAATGGGTATATATATAAAATAAAATAAAATCCACATCCATGAGAATGCTTACCTCTTGTAGTCGGTTTTGATGCACTGTATAGGGAAATGATCCAGAGAGATATAATAACGGTATGTGATTATGGTCGCATCCCAGAGAACCGCGCGCACCCACCAAACACAACCATGGACAGCTGCAGTATATTGTCCCCGCCCCCCGACCAACCCCCCAATCGACGTGCGCACACTCATTGATGGGGACTGAAGTGGATACTTGGGTGCCCCTCGTCCTTATTACTGCATTATAAACTGCTGTTTAGTAATACGAAATAAACATAACTACAACGCGATAAAGTCATTTGATTTTGAACGAATTTTGAAGAAAAACTAAAATATAAACCAAACATGTAAAGTGTTGGTCCCATGTTTCATGACCTGAAATAAAATATCCCAGAAATGCTGCATAAACACAAAAAGCTTAATTCTCTAAATGTTGCGTACACATTTGTTTACATCTTCTGTTCGTGAGCATTTCTCCTTTGCCAAGATAATCCATCCACCTGACAGGTGTGGCATATCAAGAAGCTGATTAAACAGCATGATCATTACACAGGTGCACTTTGTGCTGGGGACAAGAAAAAGGCGTGTCTAAAATGTGCAGTTTTGTCACACAACACAATGCCACAGACAGCTGATGAAACTGTGGGTTTGCACAACCGAATAAATTCTGCACAAACTGTCAGAAAACGTCTCGGGGAAGCTCATCTGCGTGCTCGTCGTTCTCACCATTGTCTTGACCTGACTGCAGCTCGGCGTCGTAACCGACTTCAGTGGGCAAATGCTCACCTTCGAAGGACACTGGCACGCTGGAGAAGTGTGCTCTTCACGGATTAATCCCAGTTTTAACTGTACATGTCATATGTCATGTGGGTGAGCGGTTTGCTGATGTCAATGTTGTGAAGAGTGCCCCATGGTGGTGGTGGGGTTATGGTATGGGCAGGCATAAGCTACGGACAACGAACACAATTGTATTTTATCGATAGCCATTTGAATGCACAGAGATACCGTGACGAGATCCTGAGGCACATTGTCGTACCATTCATCCACCGCCATCACCTCATGTTTCAGCATGATAATGCACTGCCCCATGCAGCAAGGATCTGTACACAATTCCTGGAAGCTGAAAATGTCCCAGTTCTTCCGTGGCCTGCATACTCACCAGACATGTCACCCATCAAGCATGTTAGGGATGCTGTGGACTGACGTGTATGACAATGTGTTACAGTTCCCGCCAATATCCAGCAACTAATCACACAGCCATTGAAGAGGAGTGGGACAACATTCCACAGGCCACAATCAACAGCCTGATCAACTTTATGTGAAGGAGATGTGTTGCTGCTGCATGAGGCAAATGGTGATCACACCAGATACTGACTGGTTTTCTGATCCACGCCCCTACCTTTTTTTAAGGTGTCTGTGACCAACAGATGCATATCTGTATTCCCAGTCATGTGAAATCCATAGATTAGGGCCTAATTTATTTATTTCAATTGACGGATTTCCTTATATGAACTGTAACTCATTAAAATCTTTGAAATTGTTGCGTTTATATTTTTGTTCAGTGTAGTAATAGAGCCTTGTGATTCTCAACCAGAGACCCCCCCAGAGAGCGTTCCTCTAGAGGGTCACTGAAAAAGGAGGGATAAAACGATCAAATTGAAAATAACATCAGCAAAGACAACACAACTGTTTAACACCGTATTAAAACGTGCAATTTTATGTTTTGACCGTCAACAATTAATATTGAGCAGTGAGCACATATTTTACATTCAAAAGTGTGATCTGTGTCCCTTACAGCAAGTCTCTAATAACTTTACACACCCACCAATTATTAATTTGACCATGTTCTTTTTCTATTTCCAATTTTGAAAACATATCTCTTTTCATTAGGCACATTACATATAGACGGATGAAAAATTATTTTCCCATTCCAAAACCATTTACACTTTTGTAGTTTCACTTTCACTTTCCATTTTCATAAAGGCATTGTTCATTTCTACATTACTCAGAGGGTGGTGAACCCTAAAACCTAATACATGACTTTACTTAATTTTAATGACATTTTTGCATCTACCTATCAATTTTGCGATATGTTGTTATTTTGGTCTATTAATGAGTATATTCGAAAAGTAAACATATAACAATTTCAAAAACTTGATGAAAAATGTATATTTACTTTAGTTTGTCATACTAGCTGCAGTCATTGAACATTTTAATGAATTTTCATTAACCACTTTAAAATGGACATCCAATCATTTCCAAGCTTACTAGCTACATTTCATAGAGAATGTTACAAACTGGACTACATTTAGTAACTTACTTTGAAGAGGTGGTGATTGGGTCTAAATAGGCTTTTGGTGTTTGGTAGTCTTAATAGGCTCTATGCACGCATCACTTCCGCATTGGCGTAAGGATTATTGGGCATTTCCGGTTACCGGAAAAAAACATTAGACAGTGACAGTAGACCATTATGATGGCAGAGATGAAGTTTACAAGTTGTTTGCTGGAGTTGCCTAAAGTATCTGTTAATGATATACGGAGGGTCGTCCGGACATCCAGTACGACACCACGTAGCAAACTGGATAAAGGCTTCCAATTTTACGTTCCTTATTTTCTTTGCGACTTTGAAGGTAATATGCTAACGCTAGCTAGCCTGAGCTAGAAGCCTTGCTTTGGTGTTTTAAGTCATGACTCCGTCCTGCTTCAGGTTAATCATGCTTTAAATAAAGTTGAATCATGTGTATATACCTCTCACTTCATGTGTTTGTACTTTTATGAAAGTATCAGGTAAAAACAGGGCTACAAATGAGATCTCTGTGAGAGCCCACTGCTACCACTCAATTAAGAAACTAAAGCCACCACACCAGCTGAGAGTAGGACTAGATTAAGTGACACGTTCAAAGTTCTGTTGAACTTCTTCAAGGTTCCGTTCAACACGTTTTACTCGTTTAATGTTACCACAGCTTTGATTGCCATTGCTAAGAGAACACTTTAGAACTGTTGTGGTTTTCACGATAGCTGAACAGTGGTAGCCTAATACAGACCAGGGTAGCTGAGTGGGAATTGCCATGCTTTGTTGTTGGGTCTGTTGTAAACAAATTGGAGTTTGGTTTGAAATGTAAACAATAATGAGATTACTACTTTTTCCTGACTTGATGACTGCAATGACAGTAACATATTCCACTCAGCTATTCTTCAAACTGCTGATGTTCTACTCAAAACTGTCCTGTCATCTTTACTTCGTTCTTTATAAACATATGGCCCAACTTCCTTGCTTTTGTACTTGATGTTTCTACTTTTCAAGAGGAATTAGGTGCAAAACCTTCACTCTACTGTTGTTATTGGTACTAGGCTACAATTTTGCACCACTCACCTACTGCTCTGCCAATACTGTTTGAAGGTAGGTAAATGGCACAAGACAATAGGTAAGTGGTGGGAGACAGTATAGCCAAGTGGTGCAAGACGGTAGGAAAGTGATGCAGAAAGCACAAAAGTGACACGAGACAGTATATAAGTTGCTTACACCAGTAAAAAGTAGAAAGAACAAGTTTTGCTCCTACTCCTGCTGCTGTAGACCCTCGTCTTTCAAAACCCATTAAATTATGCTTCTGTGTATTTCAGATGACATTGCGTGATTCACAGCCAGTTGTGCTTGTTAAAAGCTACTGTTCCTGTGTGGCTGGGTGTGGGATATGCAATCATTTGGTTGCATTACTATATCAGACTGCCCATTACTCTGAATGTGGCATGTCTGTCGTCCCTCCTGTACTTTCGTGCACTGAAACAGAGCAGAAGTGGCATAAACCACGAACGATGGTTCCATTGAAACAGCACTGGAACAGCTCCCTTCTTCAGACGTCTGCGCCCAGCTGGAGTCGGAGGCTCTATCACATCTTCACTTAGAAAGTGTCGGCTGCAGGCTCGTGTGTTTGATGTAAGAAAGTTGACTCGTCAAATGTTAATCACCCACCGTTTATGTAATCCACTGTCTTTGGGAAAAGTAAAAAAAACTAACAGAAGAATTGTATCTGGCAGACACTGTACATTGCGGCACACAGCAGTGATGGCTGGAAGAGCTGTCATCCCGTTTTTGAAAGGACACTTTCGTACGTTTACACGTCATCGTGTTATAAGTCAAGACGAAGTATTACACGTAAAAACATTAAGATAAACAACTACGATAATTAACCGTTTCGGATGTTTTTGACGACAAGCAGTCAATGCTAGCATACGGTAGCACAGCATTCTACGATAACCGGAAGTTTACATCCATCCTGAGATTTAACCGGAAATACCTCATGCTCGCCTATTCAGTGTACTTGGCTTTAACTGCCATTTCCCGGAAGTCAGACTTTTTTCTTTTTCTTTCAGCTTCAGAAACATCTGCATTCACCAAAATGTGTGTGGCTATCCTTAGATATATTCTCCAGACTTGCCCAGAGGGAATTGTTGATATGCTGTACATTTTCTATTCTAGATAACATTTTATTAGAAAAAATGCATTTTGCGTACATGTCTTAAGTGTTTTACAGATAGAAAGATTAAATAAGTATTTATCCACAATCTGCTCTGGACAAGTACGGTCCTGGAGTGTCTTAACAAAATGAAACAAAAATATTTAGGCTGACTTCATCCAGTGTCCAGAAAAAGTAATTTGCGTGGTATGCAAATATGCGCATATTTAATGAGCCATCGCCTCATTTGCATATTCCAAAAAAATATTTTTTTGGTACAAAAACATATTTTATTTCTGTCTAGATTCAACTGGTAAAATTTGATTGTGATATGATTAAGATAACATGGTGTGGTGCCTGGCCTTAAACAGACTTACCAAAGGTGGGTCTGTTGTAGACCCACTTCCCCTCTGCTTACCTTGTGTAAAAATAAGTCCCCCACAAGTTATTACTTTTTTTGTCCACATGGTGCACGTGCAGGACTTATTTTGACATGAGGTAAGTAGAGAAGAAGTGGGTCTACAACAGACCCACATTTGGAAAGTCTGTTTAGTAATACAATCCTTTTAGATATTGTCTCCTCATGCCCTCAGTCATAATGACCAACCAACCTGCCCACCGGCACAGTAATTTGAAATTGAATTATATTTAACTTCTGGCTTTCCATAGACTGTTTGACCAACCCAATACAATTGAAAGCAATGCTAGTGTATGTGAAAATGTTGCTTTGCTAAAAGCACCTACATTTCAGGCTGAATTGTTTTGGTGTGTAAGGCCAGAATACTCTGTTCTGGTGATCATTGGAGATCAAAATGAACAGGACAGACTAGATGTGCCACATGGATAGGTATGATATCACTGTTAATTGCCAGCTAAACTTTCAAAATTAAATTAACGTTAGCTAGCTAACGTTGTTTTGGTTTTTCAAACACCACCCTAGTCACTCTCGACATAACCGGCAGGTCTGTGCAATTACTAGCTACCTGCTACATAACACATTTTTTATTCTAACTTTGCAGGATCCCAATGTTAATGATGAGTTACACGGAAAAGCACGAAGATATTACAAAAGAAGAATGGATGGACAAACTGAACAATGTACACATACAGAGGGCCGTCATGAACCGGCTTATTATGAATTACCTGGTGACTGGTAGGCCATCATTCACACTTTGCATTTGTGTCATTTGCTGCTAAAACAACCTCCAATCTGAGCCGCGCTCAATCCCAGTTTACTGTTCTGCTCCGAACATCTTTGGCTTTTCAGCTTGCCTCTACTTGCAGAATCACTCACCTTTTTCCTTGATCTATCCTATATCCGGTTGATTGTTCTTGTGATTTTGATGGTCTCACTCTTGTCTGTGTTTGTGCAGAGTGGTTTAAAGAGGCAGCCGAGAAGTTCCGGATGGAGTCTGGGATCGAGCCCAGTGTGGACCTGGACTCGCTGGATGAGAGGATAAAGATCAGAGAGATGATCCTAAAGGGTCAAATTCAGGAGGCCATCGCACTCATCAATCGCTTACACCCAGAACTACTTGACACCAACTGCTACCTGTACTTTCACCTGCAGGTAAGGATGCCCTCAGTGGACTGTTTTGGGACCAGAGCCTGTCCAAATCATAAGCATCTCAATGTGGATGTCCATTGAATACACCAAAACACTTGATGAAACCTCTGTCATCCCTCTCCATTTCTTTCCCCTTTCCTCTTTGTAGCAACAGCACTTGATTGAGTTAATCAGGCTGCGGGAGACAGAGTCTGCGTTGGAGTTTGCCCAGACACAGCTGGCAGAGCAGGGGGAGGAGAGCAGAGAGTGCCTAACAGAGATGGAGAGGACACTGGCTCTTCTTGCCTTCGACACCCCAGAGGAGTCGCCCTTTGGAGACCTGCTTAACATGATCCAGCGACAGAAGGTGTTTGTGTGTGTGGTCTATCATCTGCATCATTGTATTATATTATTAGAGCCTCTTTACACTACACTAGTTTGACGACACACTAGTTCCATGACACATACAGTGGGGAAAAAAAGTATTTAGTCAGCCACCAATTGTGCAAGTTCTCCCACTTAAAAAGATGAGAGAGGCCTGTAATTTTCATCATAGGTACACGTCAACTATGACAGACAAAATTTGGAAAAAAAATCCAGAAAATCACATTGTAGGATTTTTAATGAATTTATTTGCAAATTATGGTGGAAAATAAGTATTTGGTCAATAACAAAAGTTTCTCAATACTTTGTTATATACCCTTTGTTTGCAATGACACAGGTCAAACGTTTTCTGTAAGTCTTCACAAGGTTTTCACACACTGTTGCTGGTATTTTGGCCCATTCCTCCATGCAGATCTCCTCTAGAGCAGTGATGTTTTGGGGCTGTCGCTGGGCAACACGGACTTTCAACTCCCTCCAAAGATTTTCTATGGGGTTGAGATCTGGAGACTGGCTAGGCCACTCCAGGACCTTGAAATGCTGCTTACGAAGCCACTCCTTCGTTACCCGGGCGGTGTGTTTGGGATCATTGTCATGCTGAAAGACCCAGCCACGTTTCATCTTCAATGCCCTTGCTGATGGAAGGAGGTTTTCACTCAAAATCTCACGATACATGGCCCCATTCATTATTTCCTTTACACGGATCAGTCGTCCTGGTCCCTTTGCAGAAAAACAGCCCCAAAGCATGATGTTTCCACCCCCATGCTTCACAGTAGGTATGGTGTTCTTTGGATGCAACTCAGCATTCTTTGTCCTCCAAACACGACGAGTTGAGTTTTTACCAAAAAGTTCTATTTTGGTTTCATCTGACCATATGACATTCTCCCAATCCTCTTCTGGATCATCCAAATGCACTCTAGCAAACTTCAGACGGGCCTGGACATGTACTGGCTTAAGCAGGGGGACACGTCTGGCACTGCAGGATTTGAGTCCCTGGCGGCGTAGTGTGTTACTGATGGTAGGCTTTGTTACTTTGGTCCCAGCTCTCTGCAGGTCATTCACTAGGTTCCCCCGTGTGGTTCTGGGATTTTTGCTCACCGTTCTTGTGATCATTTTGACCCCACGGGGTGAGATCTTGCGTGGAGCCCCAGATCGAGGGAGATTATCAGTGGTCTTGTATGTCTTCCATTTCCTAATAATTGCTCCCACAGTTGATTTCTTCAAACCAAGCTGCTTACCTATTGCAGATTCAGTCTTCCCAGTCTGGTGCAGGTCTACAATTTTGTTTCTGGTGTCCTTTGACAGCTCTTTGGTCTTGGCCATAGTGGAGTTTGGAGTGTGACTGTTTGAGGTTGTGGACAGGTGTCTTTTATACTGATAACAAGTTCAAACAGGTGCCATTAATACAGGTAACGAGTGGAGGACAGAGGAGCCTCTTAAAGAAGAAGTTACAGGTCTGTGAGAGCCAGAAATCTTGCTTGTTTGTAGGTGACCAAATACTTATTTTCCACCATAATTTGCAAATAAATTCATTAAAAATCCTACAATGTGATTTTCTGGATTTTTTTTCCTCAATTTGTCTGTCATAGTTGACGTGTACCTATGATGAAAATTACAGGCCTCTCTCATCTTTTTAAGTGGGAGAACTTGCACAATTGGTGGCTGACTATATACTTTTTTCCCCCTATGTATATTATTAATGTAAAAATACATTTTGTGACTCTTTGCATTGATCAAGTGTGCAACATTATGTGCAATATGGTTTAGATGACAAGCTCCTGTATAGTTTGAATAGTTATCCTTATTTTGTTTTTCTAAATACTAAGGTATTTACGGTATGCTAATAGCTGCACACACACATGAATCAGGAATGTGGCTTTGGCCACCACACCACATCCAAAGCTAATGTAAGGATAGTTTAAACAGAAAAGTTGAAAATCTGAAGTTGAAGAGACACAGATCTTACTTCACATATTTTACGAATAGCCTTAATGTGCATGTGAAAAGGGGTCTATGTGTGACTGTATTCCTGTAATTGACACTTCTGAATGCTATTCAGGTGTGGAGTGAGGTGAACCAGGCTGTGTTGGACTATGAGAACAGGGAGTCAACGCCCAAACTGGCCAAGCTACTCAAGCTGCTGTTGTGGGTTCAGAATGAGCTGGACCAGAAGAAAGTCAAATACCCCAAAATGACAGACTTCAGCAAAGGCATTATTGAGGATCTCAAGTAAAATGACCGAGCAGTGAAATGGACTACCACACTCACTTTCTCCTATTTATAATCAGTCAACGACTGGATGATAACGTAATAATATATATATTATATAAATACTTTTTTCATGTTGCATATGAGAGGACTTAATTGAGTGTGCAAACTCTATATTATTTTAAAAAGTGACTAACACTATGATGATTTAAACATTCAACAGAGAGTACCCACATTTAGACACTTTGAGAGACCACAAATTTAAATGGCTGGTTTAAATTTGATTACCTGAAAAATAAGTATTAATCACTTTTACTTGAGTGTCATGGTTGGTTCTGAATCTCATTTTTATTTGTTTTATAACCCACTGAGTGGTCACGTTGAGTGTGGGAGTTAAGATTTTATACAAACCATATAGAGCTTGTTAAAGGTCCAATGTAGTTGTTTTTATCTCAATATCAAATCATTTCTGGGTAACAATTAAGTACCTTACTGTGACTTTTCAATTAAAATTGTCAACAAGAAACAAAAATAGCTTCTTAGCGACGAGCAGTTTCTCAAGCAAGTATTTTGCTAGGATTGTCTGGGAGTGGTCTGAGTGGGGAGGGGAAAACTGAAAACTATCTGTTATTGACAGTGAGGTTTGTAACTCTTTCTTATTGATGATGTCAGCAGGCAGGCCAAAACTCTATCTCAGGTGGTCTTTTCAAACAGCTCTTACACTAAAATGGCATAATCGTTTTCACAATTTCACAGTATTTTTTCCAACCTCAGTGTGGAAATATATATTAAACACAGGAAAAACACATTTTTGACTGCACTGGGCCTTTAAGCCAAAACATTTTTTTAAGATAAGGGGTTTGGGTCACGTGGAGACTGTGTTACCCAGCCTTTATCTACAGTACTTTGATTAGTTATAACCAATTCTCTATCTTCTGGACATCTGGTCTGTCTACTGATGGATGAAATTATTACACACATGGAAATACGGGTTTCTTTTAAATGGTTTGCAGAGTTTACATTCCCTTCTGTCTTTGAAAGATACCTGAAGCTCTGCCTTGTAGGTTTAGTTTTATTGAGGAATGAAAACTTGTAGATGGCGGGTGGAAACCTCGACCTTTCACAGTATAAAGGCTGTACTTTCTTTCATACAGTAGGAGATATAAGTTGGTATAAGGTACACATGACCAGTTTGCTATTAAGAGTTAGTAACCAGTCTGAATTTTTACATTTAGTGCACAGAGGCATGTAGTGTAAATATTGTTCAATGGGTTAAGGTCACTATAGAAGCGCTCGTTTGTTGTAATATTGTTGTCTTTTTTACCTGCTGCTAAATGTCAAGTTTATTGTATGATCAGACAATGTGATTATGCACAGACTACAGAGAACTCCCCTCCCTTGTATTGGTGGATGTTTTTTAGGTGAAATTTGCAGATTTAAAAATAAACAATTCTTTTCAGAGAAAGTTTTTATTTAAATTAGGTCAATCCAATATGACAATCCATTGAGAGCACTGTTTCCTGCATTGTGTAGACTTGCTTCCCAGATTCATCATTTATTCCTTGCAGATGTGGGATTTTGGCATAGTTAAGTTTCCGAATGCTTCCCAGTCAATAGTTCGCGCAAATATTATGACAATGTTGTTACATTGTTTTTGGTCTTCGGCAGGTTTTTTTTTTTCCGGCTTGAGTCGAAGTTCGGTGAGAAACGTGCAATTCGGGGCGTTCTTGCATGTGGGCATTCCTGCATCTGCAGGAACCCCTCTTTATACCTCCATTGATAAATTTTTAAGCTAGGACAAGCGCGAGGCGGGGCTGCTTCAGTACAGTAGGTGGTGCTGATGCACAATAACGTTGGATGCCAGCTGCCGATTAACCCCACAGAAGAAGGGGTGGGAGTGACAACGGTATTTAGCTAGCTGTACACCGCAGGTGTTCTGTAAGTGGGCGCGAAGGACTGTGCCAGCTTAGTGAGCATTTCTCCTTTGCCAAGATAATCCATCCACCTGACAGGTGTGACATATCAAGAAGCTGATTAAACAGCATGATCATTACACAGGTGACCCTGTGCTGGGGACAATAAAAGGCCACTAAAATGTGCAGTTTTGTCACACAACACAATGCCACATATGTCTCAAGTTTTGTGGGAGCTTGCAATTGCAATGTTGATTGCAGGAATGTCCACCAGAGCTGTTGACAGAGAATTGAATGTTCATTTCTCTACCATAAGCCGTCTCCAACGTCGTTTAGAGAATTTGGCAGTATGATCCTACAGCTATTGTATGCAGTAATCATGTGCCTAAGAACCAGATTTATACTGTTAGCACTGAGCCGGTGTGCCCGAGGAGGAAGGCCACTGTGTGCAGCTCACCCTGCACTAACATATAAAGAACATGACCACATCTACTGCTGCTAAGCTTCCCAGTAAAGCAATAAAAACAAGTAAGCATCCCAGAAGAAAAGTGCTCAAAATAGCCCACGTTAACATATGTAGCTTAAGAAACAAGGTTCATGAAATCAATAATTTGCTAGTAACAGATGACATTCATATTCTGACTATCTCTGAAACTCACTTAGATAATACCTTTGATGATACAGTGGTAGCATTACAAGGTTATAACATTTACAGAAAATATAGAAATGCCAATGGTGGAGGTGTTGCTGTTTATATTCAGAACCACATTCCTGTGAAGATTAGAGAGGATCTCATGTTAAATACTGTTGAAGTAATATGGCTACAGGTGAATCTGCATCACCTAAAGCCCATTCTGGTGGGAAGCTGGTATAGACCACCAAGTGCTAACAGTCAGTATCTGGATAACATGTGTGAAATGCTTGATAATTTATGTGATATCAATAGAGAGGTATACTTTCTGGGTGATTTAAATATTGACTGGCTTTCATCAGGCTGCCCACTCAAGAGAAAGCTTCAAACTGTAACCAGTGCCTGCAACCTGGTTCAGGTTTTCAGTCAACCTACCAGGGTAATTACAAACAGTACGGGAATTAAATAATCAACATGTATTGATAATATATTTTCTAATGCTGCAGAGATTTTTTTGAAAGCAGTATCCAAATCCATTGTATGTAGTGATCACAATATACTAGCCATATCTAGGAAAACCAAAGTTCCAAAGGCTGGGCCTAATATTGTGTATAAGAGGTCCATACAATAAGTTTTGTAGTGATTCCTATGTTGTTGATGTAAAGAATATATTTTACATTTTACGTCATTTAGCAGATGCTCTTATCCAGAGCAACTAGGGTTAAGTGCCTTGCTCAAGAGCACATCGACAGATATTTCACCTAGTTGGCTCGGGGATTAGAACCAGCGACCTTTCGGTTACTGGCACAACGCTCTTAACCACTAAGCTACCTGCCGCCCCATATGTTAGTCTGTGGTGTGTAATTAGGAGCAAACAGACGCTGCACTTGACACATTTATGAAATTGCTTATTCCAGTTACTAATAAGCATGCACCCATTAAGAAATGACTGTAAAAACTGTTAAATCCCAGTGGTTGATGAGGAATTGAAATATTGTATGGTTGAGAGGGAGGAGCCAAAATGAATGGCAAATGTATTGCAAATTGAGAAATCATGTGACTAAACTGAATAAAAATAAGAAACTACACTATGAAACAAAGATAAATGACATATAGAATGATAGTAAAAAGCTTTGGAGCATCTTAAATGAAATTTTGGGAAAAAAGACAAACTCAGCTCCATCATTCATTGAATCAGATGGCTCATTCATCACAAAACCAACTGATATTGCCAACTACTTTAATCATTTTTTCATTGGCAAGATTAGCAAACTTAGGCATGACATGCAAGCAACCATTGCTGACACTACACATCCAATTTTGAATTCCGTAAAGTGAGTGTGGAAGTGGTGAAAAAAGTATTGTTGTCTATCAACAATGACAAGCCACCGGGGTCTGATGGAAAATTACTGAGGATAATAGCGGACGATATTGCCACTCCTATTTGCCATATATTCAATTTAAGCCTACAAGAATGTGTGTCAAAAGTCATTCCGCTACCTAAAAATAGTAAAGCCCCCTTTACTGGCTCAAATAGCCGACCAATTAGCCTGTTACCAACCCTTAGTAAACTATTGGAAAAAATAGTGTTTGACCAGATACAATGCTATTTTACAGTAAACAAAATGACAACAAACATTCTAATGGAGAAGGACATTCAACAAGCATAGCACTTACACAAATGACTGATGATTGGCTGAGAGAAATTGATGATAAAAATATTATGGGGGCTGTTTTGTTAGACTTCAGTGCGGCTTTTGACATTATCAATCATAGTCTGCTGCTGGAAAAACGTATGTGTTATGGCTTTACTCCACCTGCTAGATTGTGGATACAGAGTTACCTTTCTAACAGAACACAGAGGGTGTTCTTTAATGGAAGCCTCTCCAACATAATCCAGGTAAAATCAGGAATTCCCTAGGGCAGCTGTCTAGGCCCATAACTTTTTTCAATCTTTACTAATGACATGCCACTGGCTTTGAGTAAAGCCAGAGTGTCCATGTATGCGGATGACTCAAACTCTATACATGTCAGCTACTACAGCGACTGAAATGACTGCAACACTTAACAAAGAGTTGCAGTTAGTTTCAGAGTGGGTGGCAATGAATAAGTTAGTCCTAAATATTTATAAAACTAAAAGCATTGTATTTGGGACAAATCATTCACTAAATCCTAAACCTCAACTAAATCTTGTAATAAATAATGTGGAAATTGAGCAAGTTGAGGTGACTAAACTGCTTGGGGTAACCCTGGATTGTAAACTGTCATGGTCAAAACATATTGATACAACAGTAGCTAAGATGGGGAGAAGTATGTCCATAATAAAGTGCTGCTCTACCTTCTTAACAGCACTATCAACAAGGTAGGTCCTACAGGCCCCAGTTTTGTCACACCTGGACAACTGTTCAGTCGTGTGGTCAGGTGCCACAAAAAATTACAATTGGCTCAGAACAGGGCAGCACGGCTGGCCCTTGGATGTAC